TCTCTGTCTGTCTCTGTCTCTCACTCTCTTGTAGCACAGAGGGAGTAGAGTTGAGTTCTATTGCAAAGCCATGAGTAAAGTCATTCAGCCTTGCTAGAGCTTGGTTGCTATAAGACGAGATCTACCTTTTCTTTTTTTTTTGCTGATAACTTTTGATAACCTTTTTAGGGTTTTTGGTGTCTTAGATCATGGAGACAACTGAAATTATTTTATCTCTTGAACATAATTATGATTTTGCAAAGTTTTGAGAAATTGAGGGTCAGAGAAAGTGTCTAGCTTTTCATCTTGTTTGTCACTTTAAATGTCATTTTAGGGGCAGCTAGGTGGCGCAGTGGATAGAGCACCAGCCTTGAAGTCAGGAGGACCTGAGTTCGAATCCGGCCTCAGACAAAACATTTGACACTAGCTGTGTGACCCTGGGCAAGTCACTTAACCCCAATTGCCTGAAAAAATAAAAAATAAATAAAATAAGTGTCATTTTAACTATGTCCAATTCCAAAATTGAGTTCACTCATTATAGCATTATTTAGTCTGTTGTTAGAGCTCAGTCCAGGTCAGTTCTGGTATGTGATTTGATTCTTTGTTCTGCCATTTAAAAAAAAAAGTTATTTCCAGGACTTAATAGAACCCTTGTATGTACAGTGAGTACTCAGTAAGCACTTCTTTGATTCATCCATATAAAATTAGAAAGTGGTCAGTTTCCCTTACCTTGCCAAAATTTACTTTTAAATTTTGCTGAAATAATTAAGGTTCTAGAGGATACAAAAATCCAAGGCTTTAAATCTGGACATGCTGTTTAAATGCAGGTTTTTGCTATCATTGCCTCTGGTTGCTATGTATTTATTTATTGTTTATATATATCTTATCTGGACTTTTTTTTAAAAAACAATTTCTTTCATAGTACGGCCAGTTTTTGAAAGTTTTTCAAGAAAGTTGATCTTGGAAATTTCAGAGTTAATTAGATTTGTTATTTATTATCATTTGTCTCACATTTATGCCTTCTTTTATCAAACAGGGGCCTTTCATTCGCTCCCTTTTTTAAGTCTTCTACTTAATCTTGTCCTCATTACTGTCATCTATTTGTGACACAAATACTTCCTATTGTCTCAAAAATATTTGTAAAGCCCTCAGCACATGATGGGTGCTCTGTAATGTTTATTTTCTTCCCTTCCTTTTCTCTCTCCTTCCCCCTTTAATGGGATACGAACTCTATATTTGGAGAGTCACAATTCTAGTTTCTGATATTTACAGTGAGTTTAAGTGCTTTGGTTACATAAACAGAACAGGATCTAAATAACAGTGTCACACTACAGTGCATTGGGAGAAAGATTTGAACAGAGTTCAAACAGAGTTCAAATCCGGGTTCATGAGAGAATGATTATATGTATGCTGTAAAATTAGGATATTGGGCTAGATGATCTCTAAGCTTCTTTCAAGCTCTAAAAACAATTTTGCAATTCTGTGTACTTCCGCCATTACCTTTGAGCATTATCAGTGCTTATTCCCCATTACCACCCTTTCTCTGATCTACTAAGGCTAAACCGTATCATATTTCATGAGGATTTCATCACATCCACAGGCTTTAAATACAATTTTCTTAATGAATTAAAACAAATAAAGTTTTATTGCATATACTAAGAAATAGTTACTTTCTGGGGCCTTCCAGATAACTCATTGTATCACCAACAGGATTTCTCTTTTACTTATTGAAGACCCCAGTTTGTTTCCAAGATGTGAAAAGATTGAGGGTTATTTGGGGAGGGGTTTTTTGGGTTTTTTTGGCAATTGGGGTTAAGTGACTTGCCCAGGGTTACACAGTTAGTGTCACAGGTTTGGTCTGAGGCCAGATTTGAACTCGGGTATTCCTGGCATCATGGCCAGTGCTCTATCCACTATGCCACCTAGCTGCCCCCGGTTTTGTTTTTTAAAAGAAAACTAGTATGTTAGGGTTTTTTTTTTAATATAAATCAGATCACTAGTATGTGTTTCGTATGCTTTTTTGCTAATTTTGCATTAATACATTGAAATGTGTGTCAGAAATAATCTGATGTTAAAAATCTGTGTCACAAGTTAAATTGACTTTCTCTTAGGGGGGAAATACCAGTAATTACGTTTTAAAACTTTAAAACTACTACAAATTTTTTTTAACCTTGAACAATCAAAATGATCTCAAGATTCTCAGCTTCTCTTGGTAGACTTGTATGAGGTTGACTGACAAAAAGTTCTTCATTTTGTATAGTGAATTATTTCTTCATTACTACAGAATATGTACTATGATTCTATGCTGCGTGTTAATTGCAAAGCTGTTTCACAACCCTAAGCTCCCCATGTTTGCAAAGTCCCATTTTAAAAAATATTAAAATTGTATTGTTATTGGTGTATAGCAATTAAAAATTAGTAACACCATAGAAAGGTAGAGAGGTTGTTAGATATAATTAATGAGGTTCTAGAAAGAACAAGAGTAAAGAAGGAATTGTGTATGATAAATTCCGTGGGGGTTGGGATTGTTTCATTCTTTGTTTGTGTATTTCCAGTGCCTAACTGTCTGACAAGCATTTAAGTTATATCACCAAAATACGTACATATTAAATTTTTCGTTTGATAAAATGTAATCATTAATCTTACCTGCTGGATGCTGTATGGTCCAGTCACTTTTCTGGGAATATGAAAGCCAAACATTATGCAGCTTCTGGTCTCAAAATTACATTTTATTAGAGGAGACAGGAAATATGTATTTAGTGTGGAAAGGCACTAGAGGTTGGGGTAAACAGAAAAGTCTTCACATAGAAGGTAATAGGATTTGAGTTCTTTGTTGAAAGAAGTATGGGATTCTATGAGATAAAAATAATAATTAGCATTCATATAATACTTAAAGGTTTGCAAAGTGCTTTACAAACACCTTATTTCATCTACCACAACCCTGGAGGTAAGTGCTATTATTATCACTGACATGTTAGAAATCAGGAAACTGAGGCAAAAAAAGGTTAAGTAATTTGTTCAGGCTCAATACTGCTAGTCTGAAGTTGAATTTGAACTCAAGTCTTCCTGATTCCAGGTCCAGCACTGTATTGCTTGTGCCACATAGGAAGGGTATGCATTCCAGACGTGAGTGATGGGAGGTGAATTGCTGAGTGTAAACAGAGAAAAGGTCATCAAAGAAAGATGGGCTGTTCCTGTGATTAGAGCAAGGGACGATCAATGGCAGCCAGAGTGCTTCACTGGGCATGCAAATACCCTTGCATATCAAGGGAAAAGTAAGGAAGTCCTCCAGCACATTTGGTTATCCCCATACCCCAAACACCCCACACCTCCTGTGCTGAATTTCTGTGTAGATACTGAGTTGTGGTCTTCATTGTTGGTGGGAACTTCCAAAATCCTGGGGTCACAGATGAATTTAAATTCAGAGAAAGGCTATTTTTTTGGGCAAGGAAGTAAAATGATAGGTAGATATCATTGTATGTAGTTCCAGGAAAAGTTCAAATACTGGTATATTCGTTGCATAAATCATCCAAGTAAGCATGTGTTTCAGGCCTCTCTAGGTCCTGAGCCAAAATCCACTCTATCCAGAAGTCTCCTTGTGAGTCTAAAATGATGATTAGTAGCAGTTATCTTTGTGTGGCTCTACCCTGCTGAAGTGATATGACTAATTTTTATTTTAATGAATATATACAATTAATTAACAAATGTATTGATAACATGACATAATTATTTACCATATTTTCACTTTGCAAACAGTCACAGCCAGAATCACTTAAAAACCTCACTATATTGTAGGTTTATTCCTCTGTTTGTAAAAACTCTCTATTTCGAGACTATCTAGATTCTCTCATGATATTAAGTAAATTCTCTTTTCAGAATTCTTGTTCACAAGATAAAAATGAATACAGCTTTATCAGCAAAGATCTCTGCATCGCCCTTCTCTATATTTATCATCTATTCATTTTCTCCCATTGCATCTTCAGAACTGAATAAGAGACTACAAAAGGCCTCACAATATGTATAATACAGTAAAACAAATTTCCAAATTGACCATATTTAAAAATATATTTTCATTCTCCATTTTAATTCCATCATGAGGTCATATAACTTTTAAGGGAATTTTTCAAAAATTGGTCCAGTGAAAAACATGAATTACATTGAATTTTTTTTTGCCAGTTTATTTCTCTGATAAATTCAAGGTCCTACTTACGATACATATATATTGGCTGTATAATGCCAGGCAAGTAACTTCATCCTTCAATGCTCTAAGCAACTCTATAAAACTCTTAAGTTTCAGAGAAGGTAATGACTTTCATTATTAGAAGGAGCTTTTTCACCAAGGAGATTTGGAAGGGGAGGTACTCTTAAAATCACAGTTCTAGTCCCTGACCCTTAGCCTATAAATTGAAATCTAATCTGTATGAATAGTGATTCTCTTGCTGATGGGGGTGGGGTGGAAGGACGGGAGAATTTAGTACAGTTTTTTTGGGGGGGCATTTTTGTGAATAATGCATCATATGCATGATATGAAGTAAACTAAAGTTTTTCAAAATCATGAACTTGGTAATTTGTTTCACTGAAATTTAAGAGACTTGTAAGACCTAAATTCAGATGTGGCTTCAGACGCTTATTAGCGGTATGATTCTGGGCAAGTCATTTAACCTGTGTCTGCCTCAAAATGTGGATAATAACGGCATGTGCCTTAAAGGGTTGTTGTAAGGATCAAATGACATAATATTTGTCAAGTACTTCCCTTCCTGTCTTCCCTCCCTGCATCCTTCTCTCCTTCCTTTCTTACTTTCCTCCCCTGTCTGGAACTAGTTCACAGAATAATTGCCGGGTCAAAATGGTGGAAAATGTTGTACTTCTAATGGAGTACCTCTGTTTGATTATTGTCCTCATTCCTTTTCTTCCATTTTCTCCCTCTCAAATCTGTCATTAGGTAGTTTAGCCTCAATACATTATCACCAATCATCAGCTTAGTTGTTAGTTAGTTTCACTTTTTTTGGTTTCTCTTCCAGGCAACTACAAGAACAGCAGCGTCAGAAGGAGATGGAACGGGAGAGGCTGGAGCGTGAAAGAATTGAGCGAGAGAGGTTGGAAAGAGAGAGGTTAGAAAGGGAAAGACTTGAAAGGGAGAGAATGGAGCAAGAACAGCTCGAAAGAGAGCGGCAAGAACGCCTAGAACGAGAAAGGCAAGATCGAGAGAGGCTTGAACGGGAGAGACAAGAAAGAGAGCGGCAAGAACAGTTAGAAAGGGAACAGTTGGAATGGGAAAGAGAGAGAAGAATATCAAATGCTGGTAAGAAGTTTATGCACTAGCCTGTTCTTTGAGACTTGACTATTTTTGGAATATTTGGCGTCTCGTCATTTGAAATTAACTTGGGAATAAATAGCTTAGTGGAGAGTTTTTTAAAAATATAAATTAGGAGTTTGAACATCATCTTTTTTCCTTTTATATTGTTAAGAGATTGGAATAAGCCATATAGAAAGTTTTAGTCTGGTGTTGTCCTAACTTGGATTCCTGATTTGGATATAAGATGTTACTGTGTTATAGAGGACCATTTTGGATTGGTTAAGCTGGTCATAAATTTCCTGTCGGTGAAACTGAACTAGATCTTCTTGGGCACCATGATATCGGGGTTAAGTGTGGTGGGAAATGTAGTTTGGCTTGGTACAATGTAGATTGTACCACGGTATCTCTGAAAGTGACCTCAACTTAAGAGTGAGAAATGTATTTACTGTATTAATAGTTATGGATGTAGCTCCCTAAATATTTTCCAGGATTGTGTTTTTAGTAAAAATAAGTGTTTCATATTATAAATCCAGAGTTGTGGTAGCTAGCTCAAGTTTAAAATATATAGGTATAGGTAAATACCAGGGATCCCAAAAGTTCTTAGTACAGTTTTAAACTGTTGTTTTGTGGGCATCCCGCCATACATATGTAATAAAAATTCTTAGAATTCATCGCAATACTCAATATTTCCTGATAAAGAATAATAATATGTTGAAATCATTTAAAATTCAGAATGCAGTGCATTTTAGAACAATTGTATTATAGATGTAATAAGGTTTCACAAAATTAATTTTAAAAATTGTATTCAGAGATATTTTGTTACTGTCAGTTTTGCTGCTGTTAGCAATGATAGCTTAGAAAACTCAAGGAATTATACATAAACATTGAGAAGAAAATTTCTCTTTGTGCAAATTTTTGCTAATTTACTGGGGGTTTTTTGGTTTGTTTTTTGTTTGAGAAAGAGCTTATTTTTACTTCTATAATTTTTCTATTCTTTTGGTAGACTTCATAATGACTGTTAAGTTCAGAATTTTTAACTAAAAAAGAGAAAAAGGTCTTATAGAAGGACCAGGTAAATCAATTTATATAGATTTCAAAATTTGTTTATAAATTAAAATACCAAAAGTTGCTAAAAAGTAAAAGTAGCTGTTGATAAACTTTCTAATAATAACTTTCACATATGCCTAATCCTCTGGTACTAACTATAGTCTACATTTATACATTTTGTTTGAATGCTGGTTTTGTTGCTTCATTAGCTCCCTTTTTCTCTCTCTCTCTCTCTCTCTCTCTCCTTTTTTATCCTGTCTTTTGCTGCTGCTTTCCATCTTCTGTCCAGCTCCATCTTTCGACAACTCCCTGTATAGTGCTCCACTTCCTGAATATTCCAGTTGCCAGCCTCCTTCAGCACCTCCTCCATCATATGCTAAAGTCATCTCAGCTCCAGTGTCAGATGCCACTCCTGATTATGCTGTAGTGACCTCTATACCACCTACTTCCACACCCCCTACACCACCACTACGACACTCAGCGACACGTTTTGCAACCTCTTTAGGTTCAGCCTTCCACCCTGTTTTGCCCCATTATGCTACAGTTCCTCGTCCTCTGAACAAAAACTCTCGACCTTCTTCTCCTGTGAATGCACCCCCTTCTCAGCCTCCAGCTACGAAGCCTTTTGCCTGGTCTGCTTCAAACTTTGCACCCCTCCCTCCATCGCCTCCAGTTATGATTAGCAGCCCTCCAGGCAAAGCTACTGGTCCAAGGCCTGTTCTCCCTGTTTGTGTTTCTAATCCGTTGCCCCAAATGCCTCCGTCACCTACTGCACCCAATGGGCTTCCTGATTCTGTAACATATCCAGCACCTTCACCGTCTACCTCAGGTCCAGCAGCTCCACCTCCGCCACCACCACCTCCAGCACCTCCACTGCCTTCCCTTCCGCCACTGTCCCACTCTGGACCTCAAGCTTCTCCTCCTCCAAGCACCCCTATTGCCTCAACTCCCTCATCCAAGCCTAGTGTTCTCCCTTCTCCCTCTGCAGCTGCCCCTGCCTCTGTTGAGACTTCTCTAAACTCTGTGCTGGGAGACTCCTCTGCTTCTGAGCCAGCCTTGCAGGCAGCCTCTCAGCCGATCGAAACTCCGACCCAGCAGGGTAAGGCTTTATTTTTTTGCTGCTAATTAACTAATCACTGGATATCAACAACTTTAATAATTGCCTTGAAGGATGAGGAGAATGCTTTCTTAAAATGTTACAGCTTGATGAAATGTTAAAGAGATTATCTAGTCAACCTCCATCACTACCACCCCACGTTACCCCACTAGTTTACAGATAAGCAAACTTGGCTTGCCCCAAAACACAAGCAAATTAAGTAGCAGGCCTGGTACACAGATATTGTGATTCCTATCCCAGTGTTATTTCCACCATGCTGCGCAGTAGAAATGACTACAATGAGCTGGTAGCAGTAATAATAATGTTTTATTTAGATATAAGATATAAATATGAATTAGGAGATTTTTTTACATGTTATAAGTGGGTACTCATACCTGAATGTTGAAATAGCAGATTATTCTGTATGCCATTTGTTAACTTATATTAATTATTCACACTTAAGTCCCAACTTGTCTGTCTACATTAAAATAAATTTTGGAGGTTTTATGTATTATAAAAATAACCTGTAATGTGAACCGGAAGGCAGGCTTTTGTGGCGTTATATGACTGAGTAAATCTAGGCTTTAGTTATACTGCTGAAGTGCCATTGTCCCCATTTACATTTTCATGTTTAATATATATGCTTATATTTTTTAAAGTACATATAAAGTTATAAACTATGAAACTTGCTTCTTGTGGTTTTTTTTTTTAATTTTTTAAATTTTTTTTGTTTTTGTTTTTAGGCAGTTGGGTTTAAGTGACTTGCCCAGGGTCACACGGCTAGTGTCAAGTGTTTGGTCTGAGACCAGATTTGAACTCGGGTCCTCCTGACTTCAGGGCCAGTGCTCCATCCACTGCGCCACCTAGCTGTCCCCTTTCTTATGGTTTTTATAAGAAAAATTATGGATATATCCATTAGATATAAAAATTAAGCTGTCATAGATTAGAATATTTTTAGTTATGAAGTATAGCAAAAAGGCAGCATGGCATAGTTCAAGAGCTAACTTCAGAGCGAAGACAACCTGAGTTCACATTCTGCTTCTGATTTGTCATGGTTATTGGACCTTGGAAAAGTTACTTTGCCACTCCCCCCCCCTCTGGCTACAAGCTGTAAATAAGGTGCTATAGAGGGAATGTCCTCAGCAGGTTCCTTCTACCAGTGAAATCACAGATCCAGTGTCTGTCTCTGTCCCTGCAAAGTATATTAAGTAAATTCAAAATATATGTTGACCTAAATTGTTCAGTAGGTTTGCAGTGAAGATGCTTACAGTAAAATTTTAGTTTCAAAATTCAGCTTTATAGCATGAGTTTGAAAATGTCTATAAAAAGCAAGCAACTTGCATTCCTGTGTCTTTTGTGACATGCATATATTTATTTTGATTAGTTTATTCATTAATGTCTTTAAAAAACCCATAAGCAGGGCTGTACAGTCAGTCTAATCAACCCTGTATCCTGTCATGGGCAAGAATATTTGTCCCAGGGGCAGCTAGGTGGCGCAGTGGATGGAGCACCGGCCCTGAAGTCAGGAGGACCTGAGTTCAAATCTGGCCTCAGACCAAACACTTGACACTTACTAGCTGTGTGACCCTGGGCAAGTCACTCAACCCCAATTGCCTAAAAAAAAAAAAATTTTTCCTGTCACCAAAAGTATGCTTTGAGTGAAGGGTACATTACATTTGCTCTCCATGTCAGCTACAGAAAGTTGGAGATCTGCCTCAAACTTACTAATTTCCACAATATGTTATGTATTGATCCATGAATTTATCTTCCATTTCATTATAACATTCCCTTATAACCTCTTGGAAGCAATGATATTCACAAATTTTCATTAATTGTATCAATTATAACTTGTCAGCTATCTTAAAATATGCCTCTTTAGATCTGAAGGGGCATTATTATAATCTTGTATTCTGTGATTATATGCCTAGGTGCCCTGTCAATGTGCTTCATGATTTTATAAACTTAAAATGTCACTTTAACCCTGTTCTTTCAGACTGAAAAGTATTTTTAAAAAAGTTAGTCTTTACACTCATCCCTTTGTTTAATTTCTTTGTTGTTGTTGTTGTTGTGGTGGTGGTGGTGTATTGTTGTTAAATAACCATTAGCAGATTTCTTTACAAGATTCAGATGATTCTTATTGCTCATTTCAGACATTTAGATTAGGGCTATATGAGACAGCCTTAATGTTTCATTTGGTTCCAAAATGTTGTGTTTTGTTTGCTCTGCTTTTAGTTTTCTTATGGAGCATTGAAAAGAAGCAGGAAGTATTTGAGGCCAGATTATACTTTGGGTAGTCAAAAATTAGTTGCTAGGGCATTCTGTATTGTGTTTTAGGTGTCCACTATGATTTTCACCCTAGGTGTGGATATAGTTAGGCTTGAAGGGAGATGGACAAGTTTGTCTTTAAGAACAAGACTTCAAGTAGCATTCTTTGTTGCTTCAGCAAGTGGCAATTAAAGCACTATTCCTCTTATTAAATCCCCAGTAAATCCTCAGTGACCTACATTTAAGTAAATGATAAATAGCTGTATTGAGTTTGTGTAGAATCAAATAAAAGATACTCTTCTACCCTGGGACCACTAGTCTCGGTCATGAATTCACTCCCAGGGTTTGAGCCTAAGTCTTCTTGAACACGTTGTAAGAACATCGCCAAAGCAATGACATGACAACCCCTGTTGCCTTACCATGTAGCTTTAATCAGGTCGTTTTGGCTATCTGTATAAAACCCTTCCCTCCCGGATGAAAACTGGCTAAAAAAATCGTTTTGGATGCTTCTGCAGATAGTTTGAGTTTAGACACTACTGCCTACAGCTCACTGGTAGTTTTTCATTTTGGCATCAGATAGACATATCTTTTTCAAAATTCTCATTCACAAAATGTTTATTTAGATAACTTCTGTTGTACTAGTATTATTGGGAGTCTGCTTTATGTAATAGAAGTTTTTGACTATTAATAAAGGCTTTTCCTAATTACAACATTGCACACATATGTATAAATTTAATTTTTCATTTTAGTTTTTATTACATTCTAGACACTTGCAAATAACAGTTCTTATTAACCTTCTTACTTATATCCTTTTGTAATATTTCTTTTTATTAGGTGTTGTCCTGGGACCACCTGCACCTCCTCCCCCTCCACCACTTCCGCCTGGTCCAGCCCAGACTTCAGGAGCACTCCCACCTCCTCCTGGTCCCCCACCCCCACCCCCACTTCCATCTTCTGGGCCACCTCCTCCCCCGCCTCCACCACCCCTTCCTAATCAAGTGCCCCTTCCTGTTCCTCTACCACCCCCTGCCCCTCCACTTCCTGCCTCAGGATTTTCTGTGGCATACATATCAGAAGACAATCGCCCTTTAACTGGACTTGCAGCTGCAATTGCTGGAGCCAAACTTAGGAAAGTTTCACGGGTAAATGCATCTTCAAGTTTTTTTTTTTCCTTATTATCAAACACTGATTGTTATTCGTAAATAATTATGTCAAATCATTGACTTTGTGTATAAGGAATGATTCCAGTAGTTGTCAGTAAGAGTCACTGATGCCTCACTCTGCTTGTTAAACGGTGTCCAAAATATACTTGATTCTGATGTGCTGTTGTTAAATGTTGTCACTTGTTCTGTTTTGTAACTAGATCATGAACAAATATAACGCTCAGAAATTTGTTATATACCTATGTGTATATGTATATATTTTCATTAAGATTGAGGACTCCTCTAGTCCAAGTGGAGGAAGTGCCACTGGAGTGAATTCGACTTCAGCTAAAACAGACACAGGTCGTGGAAATGGACCACTTCCTTTAGGTGGTAGTGGCTTAATGGAAGAAATGAGCGCCCTGCTGGCCAGGAGGTAAGTTGAGAACTTGATCATTTAATGCCAATGCCTAGAATAGAGAATTTGAAAATGAGATTTATTACAATTGCTATTTTTTACTGGATAGAACCTCCTTTATTTGAGAGAGAATGTTCTTTATATTAAGAGATGGATGATTTTGTTTGGTTTTGGTTCATTCTAGAAGAAGAATTGCTGAAAAGGGATCAACAATAGAAACAGAACCAAAAGAGGATAAAACTGTAAGTTGGTTAACATTTTGTCTTAATACCTGAAATCAAGAAAATATTGTAGTTAAAGGAGTCATCTTAAAGATGATTTAATATGAGTCAATTAGAAATGGATTTTATCAGATACTATTTGTTTTTTAATACGTCAGTAATGTTTTAAATGTTGGATGTTATTTCTTAGTTCTTGTTAAATTTATAATGAATTGTTGGCTGTCTAGTGTTAATTGTCAGTATGACACAAAAACAGAAGATTGAGAGTCTCAAAACTTCAGTTCTACCATTGTTTAGCAATGGTGGTCAAGTAATTTAACCTTCCTCTGCTTCAGTTCCTTTATCTTACTTAGCATTAATGCTAAAACTACCTTAGCTCTTCCTCTTGTGTTTGACTTTGCCACCACTGGAGTCAGATAATTAGGTCTGAACCAAAGCCATGAGAACACATAGGAAGGGAAGAGGAAGAATGTAGAAATGGGACTAAGAGATAATGAGGCTCAACAAAAATAAAGGAAAGATGAGATGAAACGAGACAAGTGAGAAGAAAATAAAGTGTAATCAGAGGATTTTTAAAGGCTGTGTTTTCAGTAGATTTGATAAGTGATATACACTTTCCATTTTATTCAGGAAGATGCAGAACCTTCAGCTTCTAAGACCTCTTCGACAAGCACACCTGGTAAGTGTCAGTTAAATATCTCTATTTCTTTCTAGAAGTCTTTGAAACCTTACATGTTGACTGGTTGGGGGTGGGACAAGGTAACAAAGATTTCCAAATTAAAACCTCAATAGAAAAAGAAAGTTGTGATTTATATCTGTTTGCTTGACTCCAAATAGAAACTATAGAAATGAACTTTTGAACTTGAGACTAAAAATTCATCTTAAGAAGGGTTTTCATTTCCTTTTCATCTACCTAGTTTTTAGCGAAGTGGTTAATAAAGAGTTTACTATGCAGGAAACATTAGTCTGAATATTTAGGTTTGGATTGATGATTGACTTGTAACATTTCTCCCTTCCAATCTAGCACTCTCTCTTTACTACCTATTTAGATTCTATACTTCAAGACCCCATTGAAGTTTTAACTCCTATGAAGCATTCTCTAAATATCCTAAGCTAAATGGTCTCAAATGAAAAATTGACTGTTTTAAGTTTAAGCACCCATCCATTTATACTACTATCTAAATCTTTACTACATAAAATTTCAAGAAGTTCTTTGCAAATATTCACAGAGATGTCTTAGTTTTAGATCTTTACTCTTGGCCATAGTATACTATGTCTAATATCCCACTAATCTTACCCTACCAAAAAAGGGAAATCTTTTGTGATGATGAGAATATTGGGTTTAGAGTCAGAGGAGTCAAATCCTCCCTCTGCTTCTTGCTACCTTTGTGACTTTGGTGAAGTCACTTCTACCTCCCACCCCTATAAAATGAAGAATAATATAAGTATTATTCTTTTAAGCACAAGATAAGGAATTAAAGCCATAAATTACACTTAAAAACTGAGAATTATACTTGGGAGTTTATGTTAAAATAATCTTATTTTCTTTTTCTCTCTAAATGTATGATGTTGTGAAATGAAGTCTGGTATTACTTGTATTTAATGAAGTTATACTGGCTTTTAATGATCATTACCTCCCTTTCTAATTGCTCACAAAGCGTACCTTTAACACTGTGTTCTAGAATTTTGCCAGGAGTTCAAGTAAACTGGTTTATACTTTTCAAACTCCACCTTTTTCCTTTTTTTGAAAATTGGGACATTTTTTCTTCTTTAGCCCTGTGTGACTTACCCTGTTCTCCAAGGTCATTTGAAGATTGTCAACAGTGACTCTAATCACATTTACCAGTTCTTTCAGTATCTTAAATGTAGTTTTTCTGGGTCTAATGACTTGAGCTTATTGAGGGCAACAAGATACTGTCTCCTCACTTCTCTTGACTTTCCATTCTCTGCTAACCCATTTTGTGATCTGTCCTTCCTGGTCCACAGATCATTTTCCTTAGAAAACAGAAACAGAATAATTGTTGAACATCGCCACCATTCTTGTTCATTACTGTGCCCCCTACTCAGCATTATTTCTGTCCTTTCTTTGATTCTCCTCTTGCCAACTCCCATGTACATAGTAAAAGCAATTAAAAAAAATTCTCTCCCCCCCCATTTATTGCCAGTCTCACTTCATTCTAGCTCTCAGTACTTCTGGCATAATTCTTCCCAGAATCTCTTATGTTTTTGTCTTCATCCCCATTAATTGTCTTTCTATCTAATACCATTTTTTAAAAAATCTGAATTGCCTAGTAAATTTCCTATACATCCGTATTAGTAACTCCCCCCTTTTCATTAAAATAAATTCTCCTTGTTTGTTCAGAATTTTATTCTTGAGAGCTTTTTTGGTTTCCTTTTTAACAGACTTCTCCATGAAATCTTCTCTTACAAATCTAAGACACATCCGATTATGCCTGGCTCTCCTTTCTTCTGTCACATTCTATAATACAATGATTACTGACCCTTTAGGTTCCTGACATTTCTAAAGACCTAATTCCTCCAACTCATTACTTGAGGTGAGGAGTTCCTACCCCACCATCTTCTTGCTTCCAGCAAGACCCTTAGCCCAATTCTCCTTCCATTTCTCAGTTCCCTTATTTCTAACCCCCTCAACCCTACTTCTCCAGTGTCCTCCACATCTGTCCATCCCTTACCCTACACCCTGTGGAATGCCTGCTCCATAATTAACAAATTTGATTTTCTTTCATCTTAAACCTTTACCTTTCTCACTTCTTCCAACTTCTGGGACTCATTGAGATCTGTCTTCCTCCTGACGACATTATTTCCCTTTCTTAGCACAAGCTTCATTTTTTTCTCATCTTCATCTGCTCCCCAGCCATCTTCAATAGCCGTATTGAGGGAGTCACAATATTCCTTGTTCCCAATTGATACTTCCAGACTCTCCCAATAACTCTTAGCAACTTCTCCTCATTAAGAATGTCTAAATATCTAGACCGTGGTAGCTATTATCTTACGTGTCCCAAGTCATTCTCCCTTTTTTCTCAGTGAATTCAGTTGCTTGTTACCTGCCTTTCTCTCCACTGACTCCTGCCTTCATATTAGGGTTCTTCAACATACATATTCATTTTACTTCAAATGCTTTATTTCCTAGTTCCTAATCTACTGAATTTCCATTAATTGCTCTTCTTTTCCAACTCAGCTACACACAGAAATGATCCTAACCTTGATCTTGATCTTGCCATCACTTATAAATGTTCTGCTTCTATGTTCATGAATTCTGAGGTTGCTTTCTCTCATCATTATCTGTTATCATTCGATCTTTCCCTATGCCTGGCCAACCCCTAACCATAACAGGCTGTTCTCTTCTCTGGTCCCAGTTTTAACCCCTTGGTGAACCAGTTCAACCCTGCACCATTCCCTGCTCTCAAATCCCACCCCTCTCCCCAGTCTAGTCACTAGTCATAATTTGTTAAATGTCAGCCCTGAATTACTTTCAGTATCTATTTCTTTTACTTCTCTACACATGCTACTGAATGGAGATGGAGGAAGCCACAAAATTGTGCTAATTAGATTATAAATTTTGTTCTTTAATCTTAGCTAGACCCTCATTACAGCAAGACAAACCTTCACTTCTTTCTAATTGATTCTTTGTCTCACCTTCCACAGTGGCTGTTCCACACATTCTTATCATTTCAAGCCTCTCATGGCACTCCTTACTCCCACCCTCTCAGCTTAGGACCTTACTTCATACTTCACCAGAAGGGGGGTGGGGGTGGAAGTTTGAGGCCATCCCTGTCTTCCACTTCTGTCTTTCCTCTTTTAATTATTTTCTATCAATCTTGCATGTGGCTTGTTTGTTTTCTCACCCATTAGATTTTGAGCTCCTTGAGGGTAGGTACTATCTGTTGCCTCTTTTTATATCCCCCAAACTTAGCACCATGCCTGGTTTAAGGCACTTAATAAATACTTAATTGATTGACTGACTCCTCATCTTGCATCCCCTTGACGTCATTGCCCATTATTCCTCTGTCCATTCAGTCTTGTGCATAAAATCGTTTGTCTTGTTCCCTCTTGTCTTTAGCAGATTGTGCCTGTCACCATACCCACTGTCTTCTGATCTTCAATTTCTCTCCATTTAGTGGCTCTTTACTTGATATCAACAAACGTGTCTGTGGCTTTCTCAGCCCCCCAAAAATTAGTACTTAATTCTAACATCTTTGGTAGCTATTGTTCTGTCTTTCCCTGATTTTTCTGGTAACTTTTTTGAAAAACTCATCTTTATGTTTCTTCACCACTTTCTTGTAAACCTTGTGCAGTATAGCTTTGAAATTTTAACATTCAATTTGAACTGCTCTCCAGAATAACTAATGATCTGTTAATTGCTAAATCTAAGACTTTTCTTAAGCCTCACCCTTCATGAGCTCTTCATAGCATGTGACACTGTTGATTACCTTCACCTCCTGGATCATCATCATCTTGCTACTTCTCAGTTTCCTTTTCTGGATCTTCATCCTTGTCACAATTCCTCAATGAGGATATCTTCCAAGACTTGGTCTTAGATCCTTGGTTGGTTTTTTTTTCCCCCTCTTCATATTCTCTCTCCATATGGTGCCTGAATCTGTTTAGTCCTGGTTTTCTTTCTCTACAGCATCCCTCCTTTACATTTCCTTCTCTCCATTTACATTCCCATCACTCCAGCTTATGTCCTCATAACCTCTTGCCTGGATTATTCCAATAGCTTCTTGATTGGTCTCCTTGCCTCATCTCTCCCCACATTAGTCTGTCCTCCACAGGGTTGCCAAAGTGTTGGTCTGATTGTAGTCTCCCCTCTACTCACATCCCCACCCCGCCACACCTCCACTCTATAAATTCCCCTGGCTCCCTACTACCTCTGGGATCAAATATGAAGTTCTCTGTTGACATTTAAGGGTCTTTACATCTTGGCCTTTCCTTCTTTTCAAGTATTTTCATACTTTACTTCCCTCTGCTCTCTTGAACAGTGATACTGTCCTACTAGCTCTTCCTCACGCACTATTTCCTGTCTCTGCACCTTTGTCCTGACATACCCCAGGCCTGAATTGCTCTCTTTCAAGACTCAGTTCAAATACCACTTGCTGCAGGAGGTTTTTCCCTCTCCCTCCATACACTTGAGCCTTGCCTTTTATCTACACTTGTCTTGAGTGCACCTATTTATGTATTCACATGTTGTCTTTCCCATTAGTATATAAGCTTCTAGGGGACAGTGACTGTTTTTGCCTTTGTTCAGCTTTTAACACAGTACTTGGAACCAACCAACCAAGCTCTTAATAAATGTGATTGATTGATCCATATTGGCCAGAATCAGGTCAAATCCAGCATACCATAGTTTCCTTAGTTACATCCTCTGCCTTTTGAAGGCAAAAATTATCAGTAAAGCAAATTTTTAAAAATTGTTAGCAGACAAAGATCTCTAATAAGATTTTCAGATATTTGAAGTCTGCCCCAGTATATGCTTTGTGATCTGTTTTCCAAACACCTCATCAAATTCCTCTTTTTGTCTAGATAGCCTGTAGTATATAACCCTATAAAAATATTGCTTCTGCTCCTTTTTGCCCCTAGTGCTTTCTATCATGCTTTCTATTACTCTCCTTGGATATCTTTTAAGACCACTCAACCCTCATCCTCATATTCTTCCAGAGCCATATTCCAGTCATGTCTCAGACTAACAAGTCTCATTGATACCTGTCAGATCACATTTGACTTGTTGTAAAAGGCTTTCTAATTCACTTTGTTTTTTGCCTATGCTTTATATATTTTGTGTATTGCTAGGTGTTGCTATAGATTTCATTATTGGATCATTTCTTGGATATTATTGTCCTTATATTATCAATCTTCCTTTCTTTTCCAGTTTCTGTGTTGTACTTGGTACTTTCTTTAGTACCTGGCTTCCATATATTAAGTAATTTTCTCTTACTCATTCCTTATTTTAAAGTTTCCTCCTTTCCTTGTACCATAATGGAAATGATTTATCATTATCCTTCCTTGGAAATTGCATTTCTCTAGTGAAGAGCTTAGAATCAATTTAAGATAGACATTCTCCTGCTAATAGTCCCCTAACTGCATGTTCAAGAATCAGAAGCAGGGCATTTTCATGGGATATTTATAATTCTTAGTCTTTTTTTTTTTTTGGTTGGGCAGTGGGGGTTAAGTGACTTGCCCAGGGTCAAACAGCTAGTAATTATTACATGTCTGAGGCCGTATTTGAACTCAGGTCCTCCTGAATCCAAGGCTGGTACTCTATCCGCTGCACCACCTAGCTGCTGCCTTATAATTCTTAGTCTTAAGGAAGTCTTGTTTGTTCATCTTTAGGGATGACATCAAACCACTATGCCTGTAGGAGAAGACATTTCAATAACTGTATTTCAATATAATTGTTTTCCTTTGTAATTATATGTATATAAAATGCATTTTAAAAACATCTTATTCTAAGAAGGGATCTGTGACCCAAAAATTAAGAACCCCTACTCTAAAGCTGATTTTAGTTCTCCATCCAACATTAATTTTAAGTTTGGATTAAGTTTTTTGGTGTTACTGTTGGGCAGTGTGCATTTTGGGTTAGTTAACTTAAGTCATTGATGGCATAAAGTATTTTAAATTGAGATAAGTATCAACTTTTGAATTGAGTAACTTAATCAGAGCTTAATTAATTTGATAGCTGCATCAGCAGGAGAACAGCATTACAGCAGGTCCCAAGATTCTCCATCTTTAGTGGGACGACAGCCCCTTTTATTGTGCTTTATTCAAATACTGTTCTGATAAAAGTAACTAGAACTATCTGTATAATTGAAAAGATTCAAGAAAATTGTAGCTATGTGTGGTAAAACCAGTAAAAATAACTTTTAAAATTTTAACATATATCTTGTATCTGTTGTCACATTTAATTTATTCTGAGTTCTAGTCTTAAATGGGAACAGCAAAATAATCAGTAGGATCATAGGATTTAGAGGGAGAGGAACCTTATGAAAGGATCTTCCAACTCCTTGATTTTACAGATATGAAAATTATGTTATAAGTCTTAATCAGAATGGAAATCTTGCCTTTTGACTTATGTCGAATTAAAACACGGTTTTCATTTTTGCATGAATATGGTGAGTAATTTGTATTTAAAATTTTTAAATGTTTCTGAAAACTTAAGTATTTTATATTTTGGTTGTATGTCTCTCTCCTTTTTAAAGAACCAACAAGAAAACCTTGGGAGAGAACTAATACGATGAATGGCAGCAAGTCACCTGTTATCTCCAGGTACATTATTTGTATAAGTGACAGTTTAAAAATGGCACGTCATACTGCCTGAGAAATTTTAAAAGTAGTTTTGTAAAAACTTCTGTTTAAAACGTGAAAGCCTTTTAGTTTAAACAGTTTTTAGTGATGTGGATAATGAGAGGAAAGCAATCAATTGATACTTGTCCCAGAAGTTAGTCTGTTACTTCATTATATATACCTCATAAATGCTTATTTTCATCATTTCCTCTCTCTCCCCTCACCTTCCAAAAATTGACATTATTTTTCTGTGCGATTCTAGCTAGTAGTGTCTTGCAGCTTTCATCCTGAAAAAATGAAATTCCCTTGGCTGTAATGGAGTTCTAGTTCTGTTACCTCTGTCTGAAAACAGAATTCCTTGAAAGATATTATTCTTTCACAAAATACTTTGTTGTAGCCTTTCTGTATGTAAAGTCTGGAGCTTTTTGCCTAATTTTACTCCAGGTTAGACACACTTGACTTCTGAATTTAGAAATCTAGGTGATAGGAAAGTATAAGTCGGATATCTTGAAATCTCCATGAATCTGGTATGTGTTAAGCCTGGACCCATATTCTTAATTTGGCTTTTTTTGTAAGTGGTTTCTTTTGCAAGAGGCAGGTTGATATTATTGTCTGACACAATTGTTGAAGTTATCAGAAACCTTACATTATTTTATTATGATTAAAATGCTTTTGCCCAAATTTTTTTTCTGTTTTAAGTCTCTGCATCATAATTAATCAGCATATTCATTATATTTGTATGACTGTCGGATGGTGTCCTATTTTATTAAGAATATCAAGATCTGGTTCCATATCACATAGCAAATCTTGTTGTTTATAAATCTTTTTAGTATACAATCTTAGTACATTTATGTTTTCTGAGATATTTTAAAGTGCCTACATTTAAGTATAGTAATTAAAAGATCAGATATTATAATATTCCTACCCAGTGCTAGAAACTGTTCCACTTATTTTCCAGGTGTCTTATTGAAGTATTTTCTAGGTAATTTATATGCTTTTTGTAATAATGTATGAGTCTAGTGGGATTTTCTTGATTTCAAGAAAATAAAGTGATCTTTTAAAAGACAATGCCAAAAGGCTATCAGTTGTTAAACTGTGTCCTGATTATTGGTTTTGAAAGTATGGTCATTGTACTTTTAAGAGATGCATTACTAGATTGCATGCCAGAGAATGAACTGTCCTAAGTCAGTAGAGGACCACTTCTGAAGATTCATCTCATGTGGGTGAAGTCCTCTCTCCATGTGTGGGACTGGAGGTTTCCATACAGTCCATCTTCTTGATTTTCATAGGTAGCATGGGGCCTTCTGTGCGTACTTGAGTTTTTCTACCAGGAAGCTTAGTTATTTCTCCTTAATTCTTTGTGAAGTGCTCTGATTGACAAATGCAGTCGAAGGACATTAAGATAATTATTTTGCTTGAAATTGAGCATAATTTGATTCCTGTGAAATTTAGGATGAGGCATTGAAAGCTGCCCCTCTGATCACCGTAAGTGGTATAACTAGGTTCATTAAACCTAAGAAAAATTTATTTTCATACATTTTTGAGAGTATTTAGACTGTTTCTTTTAAAGTCTTGATAGATACTTTAAAAATTCACCGTTTAGAGAAGTGTTATTATAGTTTTTTCATTAGATATGTTAACATGTGAGACATGATCTAGAAATGAAATTTAGCTGTAATGCAAATGGGAACTTCACAAATATGTGTTGTATTGAATTAGATTATTCCTTTTCCTCCATTTCATGCACACACGCAATTGTGTGTGCATTCATGTGTATGTAGTAGTTGTTTCTTGGCCACTAAGATAATGACTTATGTTTTCTCACAGAACCCCTGTGAAGTAGGTAGTATAGTTACTATATGCCTCATTTTACAAACTAGGAAACTAAAGCTTAAAGCTAAGAAAGGTCCTCTGCCATTAGAATTACAGGACTAGTGTTGTATTTTGTTTTGTTTCTTAAAATTGTTCTACTGACTTAAGAGATGTCGTGGTAGGTAATAGATTTAATTAAAAGGCGTTTTCAGCTATTAATAGATTTGGGGCCTTTACTTTTTTTCTTTTTCTTAAATTTTCCTTTGGAAAATCAGGGTTTTCTTTTTCCTGGCATAGTGGAAGAATGTGCTACATCTGGGAGCCAAGAGAAGCCCAAGTTCAAGTTCTATCTTTGGCTATAGACCTATTGCTTTTAGGCCAGTCTGCCAGCCTATATTTCCTTCTCACCTATAACACAGTATTGTAAAGGGGGATTAAGTTCTAAAGTCAGCATGTAAGACTAGTCAGAGTTACCTTTGAAATGACTTTGAATCAGGGGATTAAGTTCTAAAGTCAGCATGTAAGACTAGTCAGAGTTACCTTTGAAATGACTTTGAATCAATCACCCATAAAGTACAGAACAATCTCTTTAAAGCTACAGTTGGAAAGGGGGTTAGGTTCTTTTTAAAAGAAGTCAGTCTGTATCAGAGAGTAGAGGGATCCAAGGTCATTGCCGTGGTAATAATTAAATATAAATTGTATTTTTTGAGATGTCCTTCTTAGTAAACAATCAGGCAGCAGGTTAGAACCAGGACTTCTACTCAGAGATGAAAATAAGAATAGATAAATACTTAGCTGTGAGGAATGGCTTCCTACATGAATTTGATTCTATTCAAGGATGCCGACTGCCTCATAATTATTTCTTCTTCCAGGACGCAGCAGGGGCTTTCTGGCTGGCCAGAGTCTTTAGGAAGGCCAGTTCTGGTTTCTCCTCTCAGTAGCGTCACTAGTCTGAAAAGACTTTCCGTGGCAGTGATGAAAAGAGGGGTCTAGAGTCATACCTCACACAGCAAAGTACACTGGGAGCAAAACAGGAGCACTGATACTGGCTGGGGGTTCTGCAGATGAGCACTTCCCGTGCTCTTTGGAGCATGTGCTTATTGAGTAGATGGATTCCCTGGACTATTGTTGCTCTCTCCCACCTATTATTCTCCCCACCCTCTGCCTCTTCCACTTCTCTTCCTTTTCCTCTCTTTCCCCATTTTGTCCTCTTTTACCTTCCTGCCCCTTTACACAAGTAGTTCATGAACACATAATGCTGTTGCCTTATAATTAATTTCCGAGGATCAAATGAGATAATGTAGGCAAAGTGCTGTGTAAACCTGAAAGAGCCATCTAAGTGTCAGATATTTTATATATAATATATATATATATATATATAATATATATATATATATATATATATATATATATATATATATATATATATATATATATATATATATATATATATATATATATAGTTGCGTCTTATCTTTTTGCAGTACAGGGAAATAGTGACCTTTTTCGTGTGTGCAAGTGCACATTTGCATGTGTGTGTTGTGTGTGTGTGTGTGTGTGTATAAGGTGATTTAACATGTTACCTAAGCCTGCATTTTGTCACATACATCAAACCAGAATGTCAACCAACAACAGTAAAAATTGAAGGGGAAAAATGCTTTAGAATAAAACTGCTTTTGCTTTGTTGACTTGAGTTTAAGGTCCCTAAAACAACTTACAGATTCTTTAATACGTAGTCATTCACTTGATTTTTATCAAGTGTTTTACTTAGTAATATGTTCAGAATGTGATGAAAATGGGACCTGTGCCTTTTGTTAAAGATAATTTTGCCTCATTGAATTCATGTTTAAAGGATTCTTGACTGGTACTTTAAAGTGTAGAGCTTTGTACTTAATTATTTGGAAAGATCTATCTGTAAACAGTTTTTATTTTGGTTGATCTATGGTGGTGTTGGGTTGCTTTCTTAAGGCAATGTGCCATAAAGATAATCTCTAGGATTTTTTGCTTTACTAAAATTGAAAAGTAAATAGATTTTCTTCAGTGTTTATAAAAATTTTTTAAGTTCTGATTTTTGTTGAAAGGCTGTATTAAAGTTATTGCCTTCTGTTACTTCTTACTTTATTTGACATAACTTGCAAAAAGCAAGACCTGTAAAACAGTACCATGACAAAAACTTTCAGAACATACTATTGTATACCCTTTTAAATGGTTTTTCCCCTTCATAGACGGGATTCTCCAAGGAAAAATCAGATTGTTTTTGACAACAGGTCCTATGATTCATTACACAGGTATCATCCTGATGTGACTTTGTGATTTGAGACCCATTAATAACATGCATTCAGGATAGGGCTGAGCTTTTTTTACATGGACTGGTAATCACCACACAAAAAAAAATTACAAAGTTTGACTTTATAACTTCTTTAAAAATTCATTTTTAAGAGTGGTAGAGCTCAAAAGCTTAATTAAAAACTTACAGTTGTATTTCTTCTCCTGTAGTCAACCTCACTGATGAATAAGCTGATGTCTACTGTGTTGTGATAGTAATTTCAGCATAGTCAAACCAGTGGTCATCCATATTCATACCTCACACTGCTTATTATTCCAGAGAATTATTTAAAAGTGTATATTTTGGCCCACTTTCTTTCTGTATGTAGCCAAGACCCTAGTTTGAGAATGGCTCCATAGGAACTTAGGAAAACCAAAGCCTTATGAATCAGATGACTTAGTGCTCCTAGCCCTTCTTTCAAGCAATGATGGAGGTATTTCTTACAACTAGTTTCCATAAAGTGTTGTCCCTAGCAATATGTATCTGAAGCTGCTCTTTTTATAGTGGACTTCATTTACGTGAGAAACAAAGCCAGAGATCTTAAGAAGAGGGCTATCAAAATTAAGTGAACTTTGTTAGTATTAACGAGAAATGCATTACTACATTTGTAGAATAACTTCAGAAGTTGAATGCAGGCCAGTATTTGACATATTTACTTTTTGATGAGAATCTCAATTTCTAAGTTGCTTAGTGGTAAATATGGTGTTTTAATTTAGCAGTTAACATTACACACTAAATTCTGAATTGGCTTATTTCATTTGACCCATTTAAAATAATAGAGACTAATGTTTAATTCAAGTTTTGCCTTTTGATGATGAATTATATTGATTTTAATGGCTCACACAGATCATTGAGCTTTGAAAGATAGTTTAATCTCTCTTTAACTGATTCTAGCAACAAATTGCACTCCTCGTAAGTGTAATAGCATAAGTAGCTTATGGGAAACTACCCTGACATACCTCTTCCTTTCCCATAAAATGGGAATAATCCCTGAAACCTAACAATTATTTTTCCTTTGTCCTCATGCAAGTGAAGGTAAGAATCCAGCACCTCAGAACAGCTAATTTAGCCACATTATTAGACATATTTTTTCTTTGTTTAGAACATTTACCAAAGCTGTTGAGAACAGATATTTGAAACCATTTTGTGGCATTAGGTGGCATTTAAGGTGTTCTGTAACCAAATTCACACATTTTGTGTTACTATTAAAATGATTTTCCAGTAATTTTTGGTCATAAAGACCAGTAGTAGTTTTTTCTTATTAAGCAATATGGTTTAATTTATAATTTTTTAACTTAGTTCCGATTAAATCTCATTTGCTAGCCTCATGGAATTTTAAATAGGCATAGTAAAGTGCATTTAACATTTAATCATTGTTAAGTAAATAAATGTTCGCTACATTCTTCAGTAGCACATTTCCCTAAAAAAATTGTTTGATACTTTGGTTGAAACATTTTTTTCCAGAAAGTGGTGATTACTTCTTTCCTTCAGTATGAAAAGTTCCCCCCTTTAGCTAATTATCCTGGTGGTGCTGGTGGTGGATTGCATGTTAGCATGAGTTAAGTCTTTTAAAACTGCATGTTTCAACCATAGTTTACTATATAACAATATAATTGATCTGTTGTTCAGTAGATAAATCTGTGGCCTATTTCATAATCCTTATTACACCAGGATGTTGTCTATTTGGTGAAGTTAATTCAGATATTAATTTTGCAAGTTAGGTGAGAAAAAATGATGACCTAATCCTAGTAGATGAAGATATGCTACCAACACAAATAAGAGAATTTTTAAAAATACAGTTGATGATTAATTATTTTATACTAATTGTAGACACTAGGAATAGCAGAGGTGAACGAATTCCCATATATGCACATTACAGTGTTCTACATACCATGGGCAGCCCAGTAAATATTTAGTGGTATAGTGAACAGAGGGTTGAATTTGGAGTTAGAGCACCTGGGTTCAAATCCCAGCTCTGCTGCTTCCTACCTTTGTGACGTTGGTAAGTCACATAACCACGCTAGGCCTTCCTTCGTTTCTTCAGCTGTACAATGAGGGGTTTGGGTTAGATATCCTTCCAGATCTCAAGCTATGAGCCTGTTTGTATATGGCACAAACACTGGAAATAGAGGGACAAAACCTCTTATCAGAGAGAATGAACATGCATTTTCTTATCCAAAAGAATCATATTTCTTTTTTTTTTCCTTGTATTTCATTCCAGCTTGCATTGGTGGGTATGTAAGGGTGCAAAATTTGGCTGATTTGATGTCATAAAACTGTAAACTGAAATAAGTATCATCTAATTACACCAAAAGATTCAAAGCTTAATAACACTCTATGAAAAGCTATTTTTATTGAATAGACCTTGTGGTTCACAGAGTTTCTAACATCATTTTAATAACTTATTAAATTGAAAGTGTGTGATTTATCTTTTTACTTGAATTTGTTTTTCATATGTGGAACTCTTAGGTTAATTTACTATTTTGACTTTTAAAATAGATGTTACCAACTACAATTGAATTTTGTATTGAAGGTTTTTCTCTTCTTGCCAGATTTGGAAAGAGAGGCAAAGTAATTTATTTTGGAATAGTTTGGCTTAAGATGTATTTAATCACCAGAGGTTATATGTCCATATATTTGTCAACAGATTCTGTATTTTAAACATATTTTTAAAAAAAAAACGAAATATTTTAAAGTGAATATTTTTCTAAAAGTGAATATTTGTAGAGTGGCTAGCCTAAAAAACAAAGCTAGAGGACATGTTTTTTAAGCTTTTTTTCTATGTCCCAGAGTTAAAGTGCAGTTCAAGTAATATCTGCACCATGCGCAAAGGTTATTAATTTACCAATATTCTTTGTTAAGAAAATGGTATTTTAATTTAAAAGCTTGGTTTATTATAGCAGAAATGTGCAGTTTCATAAGCTTATTTTATGAGTTCTCCACTAAAATCCTAATCTGGTGTTTCACTGTGGCATGGCAGTGACCCTAGGTTTTCACGCTGTGCCAGTGAATCACAAGCCAGTCTGGAGAGTCTGCCAAACTGGAGAGGGTCAGGTGACAGCCATTATCCAGAGATCAGACTTTAAGTACAAAAAAATCTTGTCAGTGAAACAGTTTCCACTAGGTGATGAATATTGGGTCACATTGGATCCTGTCCACAAAAGTAAATACCCACATCATTAAAATAATAGATTTTGTGAAATATTAAACTATTTTATCAGGTGAGTTTTCCCAAAAATTTTTGTGTAGAAGAAGTTGGATAATTACCCACAAATATACCTGAACCTAAGCGTCTGTCTTTGCTTCTCAAAATCTAGCCTGTAGTATTGTCAGCACTTTTTTGAATCAATAAGCATTTATTTTGAAAACTTTCTTTTAATGTTCCTTTTTTGTGGGACATAGAATTTCCAAGTCAAAGTCATGGTATCCATTCTGTCACTTTGCTACACACCTGGTAGAGAAGAAAACAAGAATCTGATGAAGCTGCCAAATGGGCCACTTTGTTGATTTAAATGGCCCTGTTAGGGATGTTTGTCTTGTTGGCATGCTGTACATTCTTTTCCTTATTGTGTTCTGAAAGAACTACTTTCTACTCTTCTTTTCCCTCTCCATTTGTTATTATTTTCTAGCCCATTAGCAAATAACAGGTAGTCCTGAGAGAAAAAAATGGAAAAACTTTTTTTAAAAATTAGTTTTCTTATTTTTGGTGGCTAATTTTCAACCAGATCTATTTTCTTTTTTTAAAAATGTAATTTAAATTTAGTATTTGGTTTTAAATAATTCCGTTGTTAACCATTTAAAATTTTAAGCAAAATTCACCTTTGTTTTTTCCCAATTTTTCCTTTCTATAGACCAAAATCTACACCATCTGCGCAACCCAGTGCCAATGGAGTGCAGTCAGAAGGGCTAGACTATAACAGGTTGAAGCAGGTATAATGTATTTACTGGCAGTTATTCATAATTTGTGTCTGTTTCTACTTCTAATATCAATTGTACTTTATTCTAGAGTAGCTTCTGGGGTAATCTATATGTGAAAATAAACAAAGCTAAAAATTGTATTTAATTAAACAATGAAATAACTCTTTTTGCAAATTCATTTTCATATGATGAAGAGAGAACAGTTTAATTAATCTTCAGGAAAAAAAATCAACATCTATATTATGTTAAACAGAGAAATCAGGTTTTTAAAAATGCAGCCATAATGTGGTTTTAATAGTAAACATAGAGTTATCAAAGGGTTGGAAGTATAGATATGAGAATGAGGTTATTTAATTTTTCACAGTACATTTGCTTCTGAAAGTTTTGTAAACTGAGGATTTTTCCTAATTGAATTCCATTTTTCCACTTAATCTAAATTGCCTTATTTCTGAGATGATTTTTATTTGCTCATTTATTTTGGGGCTAGAATTTTAAAGAAAATTCAGTTATGCACTTCTTCACTTCCCTATTTCTATATCCTATAATAAATTTAGTTATTTAAATGTCTTAGGGAAGTTATTATTTGAGACAACCTGGTAGTGAATCATTTTGCAAAGAGGATCATTTTGTTGTGTTAATAATCATTCCCTAATTTCTGTAGTATTCCATAGTTTCCAAGTCTCACATCTTGGATTTTCAAAATATGGGGTATCCCCAAAGTCTTAAAACTGCACTAAGATTTGGGACACCCTCTGTAGTAATCTCTTAATTCTTGGTAATAATGGAGTGGAGTCAGTTGTTCAAACATTTCTACTTGGATTTGAAAAAATGGTTTTTGTTATTGGTTGTCTTCTGTGTGTACGTAAAACTATAACCTCCATGGACCTCACCTTTTTGTAAAATGAAGTTTGAACTGGGATGTTCGCACAGGTCCCTTTGAGCTTTAATGCTATGAATATTTCCAACTAAATGATGTTCTTAAGATCCAACAGTTTGGCTATCCTACCTTGCTTCTTTACTTGGTCATTTTCCTCCTTCCCATCACTTTTTTAACTAATTCAATGAACTAAACCAAGGAAGAGCTGGACTCTTTCCAGAAATCTGCTGATTCATGCCTTTCTTAGGGCAAGGAAGTAATTGTTTTAGTTTAAAATATCATCTCTTCCACTTCATGCTACGTTCCAATAAGGAAAGATTCTGTTTATGTTAATTATTTATCGAAGTACCTGTGGCTGTGATTTATTTTCCTCTTTCTTTTTTCTCTGCTTATTTTAGGATATTTTAGATGAAATGAGAAAAGAATTAACAAAACTAAAAGAAGAGCTCATTGACGGTGAGTTTCTAAATGTATATGCTACTTACATCAGAAGAAAACAATTTGTAAAAATAAATGAATAAATGTATAACCATTTAAATGTTATTTTAGAACTACAACTGCTTTTGAATTGACTTCGATGCTCATTCACCTCCAGACTTAGGCTAACCTTGGAGGCAGAGGCTTATGTCCCAAAGAGAGGGACATAAAAAGTGTGTGAGAGTTAGATATAATTTGTGATATACAAGCTTATTGGATCTCATACGTAGTAGAGTAAAGAGAAAAATCAAATGAGTAAGAGCTTCTCAAAGATGATGCCATTCTTCATTCTTATTCCTTTAAAGTTAAGCCTTCACATGGATTTTTTCATCTGCATGTTCACACAAAAATTAAAATAATAGTAGCATTTTTAATTTGAAATGAAATGATATATGTATTCTCTATCTGGAAACTTAGTTTTCATAAAAAAACACATCATTTTTTATTGTCTCTCCTTAATAAGATGGCTTGATAAATTCATCATTGTCTGTAGTTGTGAGAGTCATCATTTCATTTGCGATAATAACTAATGGATTTTCTTTCTTTTTTTTTTCCCCCTTTTTCTAATCAGCAATCAGACAGGAACTCAGCAAATCAAATACTGCATAAAAAAAAGTAAAACTAAGGATAAGACTTTGACCCGAAAACATAAAGTAACTACATTTTGTGGGCTGTTAGAAGAAAATGGAAACAAACACTTGGAATGAGGGAAAATCAACATATTATAAAAGCTGTCACACATCTACAATGACCTGCTATTATTTCCCTCCCAGTTTGCTGCTTTTTTCTGACCTTTACAACAGGATGGAAAAGAGTCTAAGAATTACTGTAATGATTATGCAGAAAATCCTATACCTGTCAGGCAAGATCACAGTGCATTGAAATATTCTCATGTCAAGATAAAATTGCACATTTTTCAGAATTCATTGTTAAAACAAAGAGGAGAAAAGTTCAAGAAGGCTTTTCAGAGAGGTTTTCAGTGTTAATGAAGGATTTAGCAAGTTATTTTGTTGTACTGCAAATGTTTCTCAGGTTTTGTCTTCCTGTCACATTTGATATTCCATGAATTATTACATGTATAGGTTCAGATCACAAAACATGGAACAAGTGGAAATGTATGTGTTTATGAGAAGGAGTTATTTGTAAGAAAGTGACCTAAACATTGACTTGTCCAGTTTGGGGAATTCTAGAATGATAGGAAGCCTCTCTAGTTAGCCTTCATGCAGTTTTGTAGATTAAAAACAAAAAGTACAGTCCAAAATTCAAAAATGTAGATGCCTTCCTAAATTGTTAAAATGCTTTACCAAATCTACATGATACAATCAGTGGTCAAATGTTAAAAATAGTATGTTATAGGTTTACTGTAGGTTTCCAAGCTTTTTTTAGATTTATGCATGTGGACATGTAACAACCACCACAAAATTTGTTTTTTGTTTTTATTACATAAATCAGTGCACATCACAAACATTAAGTAGTCTTTCCACACCCAGCCCCAGGAAAAAAAAAATTATTTGTGGGAGGAAAGGGGGGAATTATTTTTCATTTAAAATTAATTATTTTTCTGCAATATATTTTTTCTCAGACATTTTGTGCATGAATAATAATGAGGAATATTTTGTGACTTTAATCAGTAACCATGTTAATAGAACAAAGTACTTAATCTTTCTTTACAGTTACTTGTATCTTAGGTAACTTCATGGGTCTGAGTTTCACATCATCTAGCTTATCCCTGTGGAACTCAAAAAGTTCGATCACTGAATTTGGGAATCATTACATCCATGTCCTTGCTACAGTAATAAAGAGTACAAACATCCAGGTACATATTCCTGGCTCTCTCTTTGAGGCTACTTTTGAAATTTGCTTTGATAAACTAACAAGGAAAAGAATTGTGATAATACTAGGTTCACAGAAATACTGGGGATAGAGAAGATAATGAAGAATTCTACATCATTTTCTTTAGGGAATGAAGTGAGATTTTACTGGTGGAAAGAAGAAACAATTATTCTGCGTCTGTGTCTGTGTGTGTGTGTGTGTGTGTGTTAAATCCACCTTCTCTTTCTTGCCTTTTTAATTTGAAGCTGGTAAGATTAAGTGGGAAAAAGATTCCTGTGAATGGCTACCAATAGAAATATAATTCTTGGGAAGTTTTAGTAAGTCAAATTCCACTATACACAACCCCCCTGCACCCCTCGCACCACCAGCTCCTCACCTCCCACCCCTACGTCCTCCTGCCATATCTTGATTTATGCTAAGCAGTTTTAGTGCCACATTTGTTTTCAGGTCTGTAGGGATCAGAAATTTTACTAGAATTTGGAAAAATACTCACATTTTAATTTGCCTTTTAGATTCTTTGAGTCTCAGTTTATAGGACAAAAAGCTTTTACATAGCATATTCCCCTATGGTTAACCAAAGTAGATCCACAGCACTTACCACTTCAAGGAAGGTTGATAAGGGATGTTCACCCCTTTCCCCCCCACCCCCTTTAAAATGTTTCTTGCTTCTGTAGAGATTCCATTTTAAAGACTAGACTGTGGTGGAACTTATCATAATAGTATACAGTTCTTCTTTCCAGTGACTGTTCATTGTTCTGCATGTGATAGTGAAGGCATTAAAGATAAAAAGCAAGCTTTTAAAGTACTGTTCTCTGTAAAAAAGTAATAGGAGGCATTTCATCTTTGTTCACATAATTTTTTTAAGCACACATTTTATCATTGAGATTGTTTACACCCCCACCAATCTGATCAGAAATCATGTTTGATTTTGTTAGAAAAGTTCAATAGCCTGGTGGAATAGTATATTGGGTACAAGTAGTCCAAGAGACTAAAATACTGAATCCTGAAAGAAACTGGTTTATGCACTAAACGTTTTGTGCCTTGGTCAAAAATTAACATGATTTCTGTATAAAAGAAAAAAAACACCCAATGTTTATTCATGCTACTTTTCATCTATCTTTTATGTTATCCCAGGTTGCTGAATTTGTTTTTTAAAGGAAATTTGATTGAATTAAGGTTTACTGTAAACATTTGCTGTCATACTGACAGTTATGTCATTGCCAGAGATTTCAGTAATTAAAGTGAGACATAGAAGCTAAGGTTATTTTCCTTATTGTTAAAAATTAATGTCCTTAAAACCAGAATATTACAGTTTTTGTGCTTTTGTAAATTGGATGTCTTAAGCTGAGTACAGTTTAGGGGATCCTTTCTAATTCCAGGAAGGTACTGCTTTCTCAACACTGTGATCTGATCTGTGACAAATCTGTACTATACACTCTGTAAATGGCTAACAAGTCAATCGCAAACAAACTGAATGTACAAATCTTAGTGCTGGTGCTGAAATCTCTTCAGAAGAGTCATCATGATTTAAAAGTTTGTTGTTTAAAAAATTTTTTTCCACATTAAGTGTCAATCAAAACTGAAGATGAAACACTAATGAATGTTGAATTTTCATGCTTTAGGTGTACCTCCTTTTTAGATTTTATTTTTCAATTTGTTCTCTGCTATTTTTACCATACTGTGTCATTTAAATTTCCTACATGCTAACTTTTCATTTGTGCGATTAAAATAAAATTGCAATATATACATGTTGCAATCACTTGTTTGTGACCCTTAGATAACCTGGATTAATCCATTAATTTTAAAATAAGCTCCAGAGAATGTGAAATACCTTTGAAGTCCCATGATTTCACTAGTTGATGGTTTATGTGTTATTGTCCCTACTCTTTGAAGGAAAAGTTTTATAGTAAATACCAAGATTGTAAATGAAGGGAATATTTAACAGTCAGAAATGAAATCTAACAACTGCTTTTGAATCAGACATGGATGTCTGTACTTGTCTGGCCTTTTCTTCCAGTGTATCTTGACACAGTGTTTTACTCAAACAGCCTAAAGATTTGTGCATATATACTATTCATTTTAATTAATCCTCATTTTGTGCTAGTGTTTTTTGCTTGTGTATATTTTTAAACTTCTAAAACTCAGTTATCACCACAAATTTACATTTTCAAGTTCAGAGGGAAAAATTAGTTTCGTAGAAAGAACATTGTTAAGTAATATTCTAGTGAAACCTGTATGTAGAAAGTTTTTCCATTTAATATGCTTTTTCTTTAAAAATCCAACATTAATATTTTTGCTTTCACTTTTTTCAGGCCTTTGGAGAGTGTCACTGTGGGGTTTCCTTGTTATTTTTTAATTTCTTCCATTTGTACCTAATGAACTCTGTTAGAAATATAATTATAGTATTTGTACATTTCTTTTTGTCAGACCCATATTTTTTGCTTCTTTAATTTTGTTCACATCCATTTTTTACAGGAGGGAGAGTCTCTACAATTCCATTCTGACTATGTGAGCTCAGTAGCATTAGTAATAACTGAATCTGCTACCATCCTAAAGAATAAGGCTTATTGACAAATCAGTCTTGTCTTAAATGTCTGCCTGTATAGATAAATTGAATCCATAAACAAAATATCTTTCAGTTTCCAAATGTGAGCATAGATAAATTTACCATCAAGCTTTAAAGCCTCCTAAAAAACATTTTGTGCAAGAACTTGAGTATAACTCCAAAAATTATAGTATTTTGTAAGCATAAAAATTCTGGTTCTGAAAGCACAATGTGCAGAGGCATCATACAATATCTCAGAATCCCTTAAATAGCCCTTATTACTCCACTTTCTTAAAGACATTTACTCAGCAACCATTCACACAATTGTTTCTGAAAAACTGAGATCCCGTTTTTGTTTTTAATATATGGACTTGTATCTGCCCGTCTCACAGAACATGGAAGGAAATTTAAAGTTGAATAATTTCATGGGTGGTTGACTCCAGACGTGATTCTGGAAATTCCCTTTAAAAAAAAAAGGTAGACGAATTCTTGGAAGAAGATGTTCGATTGTCAAGACTAAGTTTATCTGGAATTTTTCCTTCAAGGTTGTAGATTAAAAATCCAGTGAACACAGTTACTTTCTCCTCTGTTGGCCACCCAAAGAATTTAGAAATGAATGCTCTTTTAAGTTGGTGTTTTAAGGATATTCTTAGTCATATGAGTCTGAATAAATTGGACTGTGATAGAAAAGCTGCTATTTTCATAACTTCTCAGGAAAGATTGTTGATTGACATGAGCCATATACAATGTTGGAGTTATGCAGTATAACTATTCCAAGGTAGGAAATCTGTATTATTGTGGGTTAATTAGGAGAGTTAAAATTACTGTTGTCGGTTTATTCAACTGTGGAGTGACCCCTTTCTCTCTCTTCCCACATTGATTCTGTCATTTTTGGTCATCTGAGGAATGTTTTGACTATGTTAATGAATAAGAGTAAAATTGGCATCATCTCACATATGTGATAAGAAGAAGAAACAAAACCAGGACTATAAATCAAATTCAGAATTAATAGAAAAGGCTCAAGTAAGCATCCAATTTAGTCAGATTATTTGAGCCAAAAGAGATTAAATTCTTTATAAATATAAATGTTAAGGGTCAAGCCATGCAAGAAGAAAATTTGGTTTCATGATAGATAAGGTAGGTGAAACTAGTGGTGATTCTAATATCAGTAAGGATATAAGTTGCTTACAAGTTAATATCTATTTTTCCAAGCATTTTCCATGTTAAAATAATAAAGACCTTGAGAAAATTGCCCATTTCTTTTGAAATTTTTTTTTGGAGGGAAGAAGGGTTTTTTATATCTTCATTGACGTAGGTAGCTTTGAGTAAGGAAGCTCTTTTGGCCAGTGTAGATTATCAGCTAGTTGTTATGAAGTTTGTGATAGTTGAGAATTTAGTTGGGGTTGCTGAGAGGCTTAATGATTTACCTATGGTCACACAGCCAGTATCGCTAACAAGTGAGATTTGAACCCAATTTTTATGAACTGTAAGTTGATCTGTCTACCCACTGTTAAGGTTTTTTGGTTTTTTTAACCCTCTTTTTTGGAAAAGACAGAATGGAAAATAGATGAAAAAAAGTTTATAAATGTCACTTATTCTAAGTAAATTTTATAAAATGAATTTTTAAGTACCTGTCACAGAAGTAGAGCAGAGAGGACCTTGGAAAACCAGGGATGCTGTATCATTTGCACAAGGTTACACAAGTAGTAAGTGTCAGAAGTAGGATTAGAACTCAGTTTCTCTTGACTTTATAGCCTGTTCTCTCTGCAGTGTACCGAGCAGCAAGTACTCAATAAATGCCAAACTACAGAATAAAATAGCTTGGAAATTAATTATATATAAACCTTTCAATGTTAGGGATTTTGAATATCACATTCATTGGCATAATGTGCGATTGCAATCTAAGCCTGTTAGACATAAAAAAGGGAGAAGCAAAGCTAAGATAAATGAATGTTTTTACTAGTCTAACCTTGAGGACAGAGACCTTGTCTCACCTAAATTTTTTGTTTCCTCCCAGCACTTAATAGGGCTCCGCATACAGTAGGCAGTAAACGTTCAAAAGAATAAATGAAGTCAAGGGAAAAGTCCAGGGCCACCAGTGTTTTGGCCAGTTGTGAACAAGTAATTCCAGATTGAAGAAAGCATTAACAAAGAAAAAAAATCACAGGATAACCAGTTCCCTACATTTAAGTATTGTTTGTGTACTATGATGCTTAAGATAACATGGAGTTGGCTACTATGTAAGTGCCTTCAGCTCTTGAGTGGTTCTCCTTACATGCCGTTATGGAACTCACTGAAAATGAATATTTCTTTTTACAGCCAACTTTGCTGAACAATATTCATTCCATAAAGACAAGAATATGTGTAAAATAAATTTTGGCAATCTAAAATTTCATCCTTCTTTTTAAATCTAAGATTATCAGGGACTAAATGAGGAAACTATATCTAAATAGCTGAGTAGTGTTACATGTTTCTTACTGTGGGTGGTTCCCCCCCCCCCGCCCCAGAAGGGAAGGGATATTGATAATTTGGTAGTGGAAATAACATTTAAGTGAAAAAAAGAGGGTTAACATAAAATATGTTTAAGAATACTAAATGTGAGTCCTGTCACACTTAACACTGGGATTATATATTGAAAACGTTTTTCCTTTTTGTGTTTTTGCATAGATAAGTTATTCCATGTTCATTCTGAAGCAAGGTGGCCATCTAGGACTTCCTAAGACCAACCCTAGAGGTTAGGATTAAGATAACATAATGCCGAGGAAAGCATGTTCTTGTGGTTCACAGTTCTTCCCCTCCTCTTCCTAAAAAAAGACCATAGTGATTATATCACCAATAAAATACTAATTAAAGAGGCTTTTTTAGTTTTGGAAAATTTAAAAGTTGAACATTCCAGATTATTAATCTTTTGTAGTTGAATATAGAAGACTTAAAGACTGTGACATTTTTACCTTTTTGAATATACCTTCAACTTCTCTTTGTATTTTATGATCAAAGATTGTCAACAGATAGGAAAGATTCCTGAATAGAGCAGGCATTGTGAAAGGTGTGGTAAAGAAGTCTTATAGTCATAGCCTTCATTTATTGAAAAGAATAACTTCAGTTGTGAGTTGGTTTGTTAATGAGGTCAATTGGAGCATCGTTCCTGAAACATCTTAGATTTCTTTTGTTGTTTTATAGTTGTGGGTGTTGTTTGCCTTTTTGTTTTTTCCTTGTCACTTAAACATCACTATAGCCTTGTCTTCTTAATCTGGCAGGTTATTTTGTCTCAGGAAGCATTCTAAGAGGAAAGTCAAACCTGGCTATTGTGAAAATAAACTAATTCACCCAAGGGTTAGTGCCACATTATCAAAAAGAAGTCAGGTCCAAGATCCTGAGCTGTGTGTGTGTGTGTGTGTGTGTGTGTGTGTGTGTGTGTGTGTGTGTGTGTGTGTGTGTGTGTGTATACATATATATGTATATATATGTGTGTGTGCGTGCGTGTGTATATGTATACACACGCACGCACACACACACATACCTAGGCTCATTTAGAGTAAGCATTTGGCAAGTGTAATTCAGTTTTAATAGGTACAGAGTTTATAGGTAAATTTTCGAAAGAATAATTCAAGTACCTGGTGTAAAGCTTTTACTTTGAAAGGTTAAGACAGTCCCCACTGTTCTGAAATTTGGGCTGGCCTTTATGTTTAGTGTGGGAGGGAAGTTGAGTTTTATTTCCTTTTTTTCCCTTCAGATACTGCTTTTTAGGTATCAGAATTGAACTTCAATATGATGTAGCATAGGTCACAGGGGTGGGGAACCTGCAGCTTTGAGCTATGTGTGGCCCTCTAGGTCCTCAAGTTCGGCCGTTTGAATCCAAACTTCATGGAACAAATCCCTTTAATAAAAGGATTTGTTTTGTAAAACTTAGACTCAAGTCAGAAGGCTGCTTGGGACCTAGAAAGTTGCATGTATCCTCAAGGCCACAAGTTCCCTACCCCGGCACAGGATCATAGATTTAAAGAAGGAAGAGAACTCAGGTTATCTAGTCCAAGTTCCTTATTTAAAGATGAGGAAATTGAGGCAAAAAGGACTTTGCCCAAGATTATACAGGTGGTAACAGGTAGAATTTGAATCCACAACCTCTCACGTCCAAAGTCGGTTGGTATCTGCTGAAATACCATTCTTTCTGGAAGAAACATTCATTTCTTTTCTTGATACCTCTTGTCATTAGATCTATTTCTTTTTTGGTTGTCATCAGTTCTGCTGTCTTTATGATATCTGCTCCCTAATCTTATTTTCTCACATTTTATTGCGGGTTAGTGGAAAAAAGGGAGCAAATGGATGAAAAGCTTAGCTTGCAACTGGGAAGATCTTGGTTCAAAATCTGCCTCTGATAAACATCCTGACTGTGTGACCTGGGACAACTCACTTAAACTTCCCAGAGCTCTAGGTAAATCTCTAAGGACTACAAGATGCTAACCTGTATTGGTAGCAATTTCCATTCCTGGGAGTTCCCTCTTCCAGTGAAATCACAAGTGTAGCTCCTCCTACCTTCTGTCCCTTACTGAAAAGAGCTGTGAGTCTCGAGACCTAACTTCTTTTCCTAGTTACCCCATTATTGATATGGTTTTGGAGAAGTCTTTTTCTTCAGGCTACAATTTTCTCAGTTTAAAAAATAAGAAGACTGGACCAGATGACTTTTTGGGGCCCTTTCATTTCTGGTTTTCCAAGAGTTTTTTTCCCATACAATAGAATTTGTTACACGTTAATCTGATAAAATTGAGCTCCATGTTTTACTGTTAATTTTATCTGTTCCACGTCTGTGGGGTTTTAAAAATTTAAACATTCACAGAAGAGTATGTTAGGTAAGAAAAAAAATTGAATCTTAGTCCAATGATAAGGGAAAAAATCTATAGCAATATAAGTAATGTTATATAATATCATGGATAACATGTTTTGAGGCAGTTTGCCACAGGTTTTTCCCTTAATTTTTAGTCACATGTATGTATACCTGCACATAACATATGTTAAGATATGCATGATTTCATTGGTATGTAAACTCCTTCATCAACATACATTGCCAGCCCTCTGTTTCATATGATATGGTGACTGAAAAAACTAGTTACCTGGTAGCCTCTGCATATTTGGGTTGGTCTTTGGTTGATAGACCAAAGTTGCCTTTCCAACCTGACAAGATTTTATCAGACCCTGCTTGTATGCTCTTGGTGCATGCTTCTTTGAAAACCCGGGTTATTTTCAAATCATGACAAGGCTTTGGCATAGAACTTTTCATGCAGGGTAGATTTAAAAATAGTCCCTTGACACCTTTACCTGTCTATCACGCCATTTACCTAAAACTATCCTTTGTTACTCAGAACCTTATTTACTTTTTTGCTCACATTCACTTATTCATTCACTTTTAAGTTTAAGGCCATATTGGGAGTTTTTAATAGAAAAAACTAGGAAGACCAGTGTTATACTTTGGACCTTTTGCTGACCCAAAGTCATTTTGCTACCATGCCTGGTGAAGGAGCTGTTGGGGCAATGGTGAGGAAGAGGGGAGAGGAGGGTGTAGAGTTGTATATCCAAGACAAGGAGTGTTATTTGTTCTTTCTAATCCATCTTGGGAGATCATAAAACTCTTCCCTACCCACCCCTCTCCTCATTCCCCCATCCCTATCCCAGCCTTCAGAGTAAAATTATATTCCATCTATCAGGCACAACTAAGGAGAATTGTCATTCAGACCCTTTTCTGTTTCCCTGCTTAGCTCCAGAGTTAGAGAATAAGTTCAGACAAGCAGACAGGGTGGGTTTATCCATGGTGCAAGTTGGTATGTTGTATCATACTAAACATAGGCCTGCCCTGAAAAACCTGGCTTCAGTAAAATCGTCAATTTACGACCCTTGTGTTGGGTGTTAGCACGAACTAACCTGCGTGTGTATATGTTAATGTGATTTTTTAATGAATGTGATTTGCCCTGTGGTATATTTGGATCCAAGACAAGCTGTGTTTAATGAGATTTTATTAAAAAAAGGTTATGAAACCACTAGTCTGTTACCAAGAATAGTTGTAGGTTCTCTATGTTGGATAGATATCTTAAATAATTTGAATGTAAGTGTACTCATTAATATCCCCATGCAATTAAGGCATAGCTGAGGGTTGAAATAGTTGACTTTGTGAATCTCTCACCATATCAATGATAGATGCTTCCATTTTTCTTGGAGGCCCTTAAAAACCTTAGAATTCCAAGTATCCAAGTTGCCATGTT